GTGTGTGTGTGTGTGTGTGTGTGTGTGTGTGTGTGTGTGTGTGTGTGTGTGTGTGTGTGTGTGTGTGTGTGTACATGTTTTTGCTAACTGGTTGGGACAATTTTTGACCATTTTCTCTGCACACAGCCTGGTGAGGACCCAGTATTCCTAATGGGGACAAAAGCCTGGTCCCCATTGGTGGAAATATCAYTTGGTCATGGGTTAGGTTTAGGAGTAAGATGTGAAATGGGTTTAGGGTTAGGGTTAGGTATGTACTGGAGTGGTTAGGTTTAGGCTAAGGGGTCAGGGTTAGGCCATATAAATGACCAGTAAACAAATGGAAGTCCATGCAATGAAGTCAATGTTCTTCTATCCCCATGAGGATAGAAGAACAAACATGTGTGTGTGTGTTACCAATCCTGGAGCTAGTGGAGGGGTTCTGCTGAATTTATTGCCTGCAATCCTAAGCACATTTCTTCCTTTCTGTTTGCATTTTTATGTAGATTACAGCTGTCTTAATAAAAACTACAGAGTGTAATCAGCATTTCCAAGTTCATGGTTAGAAAAAGTGTAAATGAAATGCGAGATATCTGCTGTGCACCAGATGTAGGCTGTTATTCCAAACATATTGGATTGGAAGAGTATGCTGCAATTAAATGAGATATGAAACAGAAGCGTTTTTTGTTCTTCACTCTTATATACCCTGTTAGCTTATATAAAACACTGTGAGGTTTTAAAATGTGTCTGTAACAATTTTCTTCCCAAATTCAAAAAAACTTGATTTCACTGATCAAAAAAAGCTCTAATAGTTCAGTTTATTATTTGCTATGACTATTGTCACTTTACTTAATTTACCTTTTCTCTTGCCAAAAAATACTGCTTTTTTTTTCATTGTTTGCTACAATTCAAATTTTATATTTTGTTTTTGTTATTCTGCATGACCATGAAGTAAAAATGGATTGGGTTGAATGGTTAAATGTTATATTATAGTATTAATCAGGTGTGAAAGTACAGACTGATCACTCACCATCTTCAAGTTTCTTCTGGGCCTCCTCTTCTCTCTTGGCTACTTTAGCCTTCAGAACCTCATCTGTTTTAGCTGAAAAGACAAAACAGCAAAAACAACAGAGTTAGGATCAAAGCCAATTTCAAACCAGTCCTTTTTAACTCTATTGTTAAAAATATTATCAGAATTTCAGGGATAAATGGGGGAACTGGATGGTTTAACTCTTATTTAAAAATCAGATTTATGTTACGTGAATGAACAGCGCTGCTAAATACAACAATGAATATATTTACTTTGTTTTTCAAGATTTATGACAGATTGTTTGGATAAACAATCATTTAAAAACAGTTTTAGGTGAAGTTTTGTGTTCTCAAAACAAAAATCACTGCAGAGGAATGAAGAAAAGTCTCAGAGGATTCATCTTCACATAAACAGTTGTGGTAAAAATCCACAAAAAACATACATGAWGTCTTCCCCTCCTCTCCCTACCAGACAACACCTCTCGCTGCTTTTCATTTATATCCCTGTAAAGTCAAGTCAGCGTTTCTTCCTGAGAGGTGTTTATCGTCTCGGTATAATGAAAAGCTTAAGAGAAAGTGAGGCAGCGGGAGTAAACACTCGTCAGGGCATTTTAAGCGTGTCTCATCATGAACCGTGTTGTCTCTGCTCCCTTTTCCTCCACCTTTTTTCCCCCTGAATAATCAAGACGTTAAGCCACATTAAAAAATATAATACTGTGTATGGCAGGACTATCAATACTGCCTCTAAATTAATTACATTTCCGTTGCGGCGCATCATTTATTTTGCAGTGTTAGGGCCTCGGCGGAGCCATTCGCCTTTATTGCTATCTCACTTGGTTGATGAGTGAGCTATGTAAAATTGAGTCTCCAATATCATTACACTTGAGTTTAAACTTTGAGGGGAAAAATGTGTGTGTGTGTGTGGGGGGGGGGGTACTGAAGGGAACAAGATGACGAGTAAGGAGGGGGGGAAAGGAGGACAAGAATGAATGCACTGCACTGTTTTGGTTAATACAATATAGGAGTGGGTGTAAGTGTTTGTGAGTGCTTACAGTCTGTTTGRGTTGCCTGCACAAATGTGGGTGTCCAAATGGGGTTTATTGCACCACTCATGATGCCTGCAAACACGTGTTCTGTGCACACACCCCGCATACTGTTAAAGTTTGTGCTGCAAGTAAATATATTAAACAAAATAAGGGATGCATTTGTGTGTGTGAGTGTGTGTTTGGATGCAGAGGGTCATGGGTTGTGTGACCGACGGTGCTGATGTTTTTGTTCAGTAATTGGCGTAGACAAAGAAGCCGTCACACTGCTGCTACGGCTGGTTAAGTTTGGAGGTTCTGCATCTTTACAGACAATGACTTTACATGGATGACTGAACCTTCTTCAACCCCCTTCAGCGAAAGTGGGGTGGTTAGTGTGTGTGTGTGTGTGTGTGTGTGTGTGTGTGTGTGTGTGTGTGTGTGTGTGTGTGTGTGTGTGTGTGTGTGTGTGTGTGTGTG